TAATACAGAGGGCGCCATAAAAATGTATACACATTTTAAGAAAGGAAAAAACTATTAAAATTGTGATACTCAATATATACCGATAACAAAAGATGAATGAATACAAGTCACGTTTGACTTCTGCAATTACAAGAGGTGACACTTGTATACATTTTCTTGGCACCCCCGGGAGTTATTTTCTGGTACTTAGAATATATAAAATGAACTACAAAGTATTTCATATGTATTATTCCATTTAATCTTCATGACCCCAAAAGGTACTTGTCTTTAGCCCAGTGTTTCTCAACTAGGAGTGATCTTGCCCCCCAAGCCTCCACCCCAGGGATATCCAGCAATGGTTAGAGACACTTTTGTTGTCACAATTGTTGGGGAGTAGTGATGGGGGGGTTGATGCTGGCATCTAGTGGGGAAAGACCAGAGATGCTGCTAAACATCCTATGATACACGAGACACCCTCCCACAACAAAAAACTATCTGGCCCAAATGTCAACAGTGCTGAGATGAAAAACCCTGCTAGCATCATCTTTTAGTTAAGAACCAAAGATTTGGAGAGCTTAATTTACTTGCCCAGAGTTACACAGATCCAAAATCACCTCTGAATGACACCAAACTCAATGGCATATCATACATACAAATACTGGTGACTTTTCTGATTAAATATTTTTCTTATCATTGTCCCCTCTTCCCCATTTAGTCTTGGTACTTTAGATTTTGCTAATCAGCATCAGCTGACCTCATCCAGGAAAGGATTCAGAAAAAGTTTTCTGAGACTCTCAGGTCAGATTTAAGAAATCTCTTTTCTTGTGCTCTCATTGCAGCCAGTATACATAGCTTCACTGTGGCAATTACCATACAGTACTGTAACTGTATACCTTTCTCCCCTTTAAACTATAAGCTCCTTGACAGCAAGGTTTGCCTCATTAATTTTGTATTCCTAGTGCCAAGCAAAGTATCTCAGCACAGAGTATATGTTTCACAAATATATGTTAACGAAAGAAAACTGACCAAATTACAGCTATTAAATGACAGAACCAGGATTCAAATCCACATCTCTCCATTACCAAAGCCTATAATTACTATGTCTCAATGAAGCTAAAAATTAGACGTTTGTCTCCTCTTTATCTTGACTGTGGGAATTCTTTGATCATAAACATATGCAGGATACATATGAAGTCCCTGTTTCAAAGACAGCTTATAATCATAAAAGTTTTCCTATCTTATGCTTCCAACTTTAATGTACACATTCTGGAGCAGCTTGCAATGTAGTCAGCATGTAATAATAGTGATGATCTTCCCCCAATACCAGAATTATAAAGAGGCCACGGTGTTTGTATCTGAGTCTCCCTGAATTCAAAACTCATTACATAGAAATCAATGTTATTTTGAGTCATCACAGGAACTGTTTATAAAAACTAAATCAGAGCCTCTTAGGAAAAGAAGAACTCACTTTAACTTTAGCTTTTATTTCTTCACTGTCCCCTTCTCCGTCATTGCGGGGTTCCATGCCAGGCTCCTCCTGGATGTCTTTGTTTAATACAGAATACTCTTCTAGGAGAGTGTCAAACAAAACTATTCGCTTGTTCTTGAAGAAGCCATAAAAATAGGCATTGCTGTGGGAAGAGCGTTTAGATCCTAAGGAAAAGACAGTTCAAAGCATGGAAAATAATTAAAAAGTCTGGGGTCCTTTGGAGAGACTCCTAGAAATTGAATGACTGGAAAGGACATTAACATTTTCAAATTGTTTAATACCTGAGGAAAACTGTATCAACATAAAGCACCATCAGCAGTGGAGACTGTCTGTTTACCTGCAGTCTTGCCAACACATATTTATGCTCATCACAGCTGTATAGCAATAAATAAATAAGTAAATAAGTAAAGCCTAAGTATCCAGCAGAACTGGGAAGATTCAATTATGGGAAAGCTATAAAATGGAATTTTAAGCAGCCCCCAAAATTATACTTTTAAAGAATTTTAACAAGATAGGAAAAAGATCACCAATATACTGAGAAGGATATAAAACTTAATGCACATAAGGTTCCATTATTGTCATGAAAAAAATGTACACATAAATAGAAAAGCATGAACACAAGCTTATTAAGATATCAAAATGTTGGTGTTTATCACTGGCTTCCAGAACTATGAATTTTTGTTCCCTCCTTTATACTTTTCTCTCTTTTCCAACCCTTTTAAAGTAAGTATACTCAGATCTATACTTAGACAAAAATTAAAGCTATTTTTTAAAAGACTGGAAAAAATATACCTAAATGTTTAACAGTGGCTAATAGTACTTGATTTCTATTTTCTTCTTTATATACTTTTTTATTTTCTAAATTTCTAAAATGTGCAGTGAATTTAGTAGTTAGGAACAGACTTTGGATTAAAATCTTGGCTCTGCCATGTATTAGTTGTGTAAATGTAAGAAACTTTCTTAATTGCTTTAGGCTTTATTTTCCTGTTTATGTTGCAAGGCTAATATCTACTTCATTGGACTGGATTAAGGATTAAAATTTTATGTAAGTCAATTAGTATACTGCCTAATCCATATAAACTAGTTACATGTGATTTTTTAAAAGAGAAGAAATGATAAAACGTGTTTCTTTTGAGAATATGAGATCTCACAAAAAATGTAAATTTTGTATCTACTCATATTTCTAATGTAAAGTGTTTAGCAGTATATTTAGAATATTGTATATTCTATATACAGGGTGCAAAAAAAAGGTATATACATAACTTGCATTCATCTTTTGTTACCAGTATATATTGAGTATTACAATTTTAAAACAGTTTTTTCCTTTCTTAAAATGTGTATACATTTTTTGGCACCCTCTGTATATAGCAATGTTTGGCAGTATGTTTAGAATATAGTAAGACTTTGATAAACAGTAGCTTTTATTTACTTATTTTATTTTTTCACTTTTTGGTTTGGTTGCTTGGAAAAGCCAAACTTATGCTCCAATTTTGCCAACAATATAGAACTTGAGGATCTGGAAAGCTGTGTATCATTCTGAGGTCTTATACATCTATCTCATTTCTGTCTTCTCTGATTCTAATTTTTTAATTAATTTAAAAATATTTCTTAGAAGCTTCCTGAAGTTATTTATGGAAGTAGACCGATTGTATGCATATAAATAAAATAAAAGTAATGTCTCACTATCTCCCACTAGTCCAAGTATCTCAAGGTGTGGCCTAAAGAACACTTACACCAAAATCACCTAGGGGAGCTTGTTATAAATAGATACTAGAAACACTTCCGAGGTCAGAATCTCTGGGAATGGAGCCCAGGAAACTGTCTTTTAACA